AGAAAAAGAAAAAAGATGATGAGGAGAATAAGGAGAAAATGACGGGACAATGGATATGTAGAAGGGTTGTTCACAGATATTCTGACTAGTAAGAGCTCTCAGAGAAGTCCCCTTTGGGTATCCTTACATTCTGATACTTTGGGAGAAAACTTCCTCTTCTGGATCTCCAGACTATTCCCTAAATTGTGTGAAGTGATTGTACTGTGGTAGCTTAAATCTCGGTGCAAATACTGTGCTTGGAATGTGTGTGGTTAGATTTTGTTAATATATATTTTTAATGTGTTAAATCTGTGAAAGGGCAGCCCACTCCCATGTTTGGCTGCTCTTGCTTGGAGGCTTTATCTCTCAGGACAGCCCAAGGATACTGAATAAATAAGCAAGCAGGACCACCTGCCGAAATCCATGGCACATTTCTTCTCCTAGACACATGAAGCCACATAAAATTTTTCCAGGACTTCAACTTGACTGGAGAAGACACTTTTTGCCTTTCATACTCAAAGTGTGTGGTTCCTTCCAGGAAAGGTGATCTGTTCTAACTCTTTACTCCTCAGTGTTCTAGAGGTCCTGTTTTTTCCTTCTCCCAGGCTCTATTTGTTTTTCTTATTCCTCTTATGCCTATGTTTTCTGTCAAATGCCTGTCTATTCATCTGCTTACAGTTATACTATTCGAATCATAACTTGGTATTTAATCAAGTTTACACAGTAGATATTTAGGAGGAAAGAAAAGTAGAAGAAGAGAATGAAAGAGAATAGTGAATGGAGTCATGTGGTAGAACTTGGAGCCAGATAATCTCCGAGCTGAACCTTATTCAGAAACTGTGAGAACTGTGCAGATCAATTAAGACCTCTGAGTCTTGGTTTCCCTGTTTGTGAAATGGGTAAAATTATGTATATCTCACACTGTTGTTGTGAGAATTAGGTGGTGAAAAAATGTAGGGTAGAGAGGAATAGAACAACAACTTGCTGCAGTGGGTTTTCAGTGGGACCAGCTGTAAAGCTGCCTCCTCCTTCATCCAGATATTATCATCTGAAAGGGCTCAGTGGGTGTTTATTGAATCCTCAGAGCATCATGAGCACTTGTGTAGAGCCTGTGTCCAACAGTCCTGCTCACAGAGCAGAGCAGAGAGCAGATCAGGGGGTTGTTTCCACCTCTCTGGTCATCTTGACAAATTAAATAGTTATCCTGAACCTTAATTTCCTAATCTAAAAAGTAGTAATAACATCTTTTGAAGAAACTAGGTTGTTTGTTTTATACATTAAAGGATTAGAAAACCAATAGCAAGAAGGTTAGGTTGGAAAAAGACCTAGGCAGGATGGAGAGTAAGTTGAGTTAATATCTTTGTTTTTCAAACTCTCATTTAAATGTTTTTTTATCTTTCCGTTCTCTTCTACTCTCTTTCTTTTTTCTTCTTTTTTTGCCTTTTACTTCTCTGATGATCCTTTATTCCATTCCTAATTACTTTCTCTTCCTTTCAAAATTTACTCACTTTAAAGGATGTGCTATGTCATTCACACCATAGTTATAATAACTCATGTTACTATAAGGTATTTTCCAGGAGGAAATACATACCAAGAGAATATTTTGAAGCTTAAATTATTTTCTTAAGTAATGACTAATATAGAATTAAAGCTCTTCATTCCACAGCTATGTTCTTTGATAGGCCTACAATGTATGACACTCAAGCAAACTACATTTTAACTCTAAGGAAGGTGTCTTTTAGAGGAACAGGCAGAGAGCTCAGCAGCATGAGCATAAGCAGGTGGTTTTGGAGGGTCATCCTAAAACCTGTTTGCAGTAGGAGATTATGTCTGATATGGAAGAGTTCCCAAAGTTCAATAGAAGGTCTTTGACCAGGAAAATCCCATACTCAACACAGTGTGTCAAGGACGACCACTAAAAAAAAAAAATTTAATTAATTGTTTTTCTAATGGGGTGGGGAGAGAGAAGAGACTATTTGAAAATATTGCAATACAGATTGTTCCTGATTAGTATTTCCAAAGTTCATTCTAAATCAGTTGTGTAGATCCTGAATCATGTTTTATTGCAGAAAACAACACTCCTTAGAAATGGAAGGGATTTTAGGTGCCATCCATTCCAGCTTCCCATGTCAATAGGAATCCCTTTTACTCCTTTTACAATAGGAATCCCATCCTGCTGAGTCATCATTTAGATTTTGCTTACCTGCTCCCTTCAATAGGACACTTATATACCTCTGTGAGGCATCTCGTTAGGGAGACATTTGTCTCCAAAGTCAGCTGAAAACAGACTGCTTAGCTTGTAATGAACCTAGCAACTTGTACTGAAGTACTATTTCCCCAACATCTCATCCATGATGATGATAGTTCTGTGGAAAATGCCTGGTTTTGATAGACCAGGAACCATCTTGTTCTTAACACCATGTTACACCAACAACTTAGTCTTCCACCATCATTTATTGTCCCAGAAATAGAAAAGAGCTCCATTGGGATGGTGTGAATACCTGGGAGCTGAAAAGAGTGGAGACAGAGCCATAACCAGCAAATTTGATTTCCTGGGCATCAGTACCAGACTATGCCAGTAGATAAACTTTTGAATCAAGGTGTGGCTCACAGTTAAATGTTATAAAACAATCTGTTTTTTATAGTAGTTTCCTATGGCCATACTTGTGATTGCTTACTGGGTGCCCTATTTTAAAATCATTGGTGGAATGTTTTTTGTATTCAGTGTAAGTGTCTGGGAGCAAACTCTTGTTCTTATGAACTAGTTGCACTGTGGGTTAAGGAAAATTATAGCAACTTGTCCTCCTCAGGTCCAGACAGCTGTGCCAGGAGACCCTTTAAGTCGGCCCCTCTCCTTGATGATCTCAATGGAGGGAAAAACAAGCTCTTTTGCAGTGTCAAAGTTTGGAATTTAGATTTTGTCAACTTGAATTCAAATTAAAGATTCACTTGTAATGAAATCCTAATTGGGCACAAACTGCTGCTGGTACAAGAGATAAACACTAGCTGGGTCTGACCCTGCCCTGAGAATGTAGCCAGGGCTAAACAGAGAGTAGAAGAATAATCAGAAATCTTGCAGAGGAATGACTTACCTATGTTATCATAGGGAATTATGATCGTCCCAGAGTCCACCCACATTTTGGTATAGATTAAGAGGCACAGCGGCATCATTCCCAGGGCCAGCAGCGTGGAGCATGTGGTCATGCTGACGCTGAAAAGAAACAGGCAGGTTGATACATCCACCTGAGTTTTCTAAGGTGGATTTTCTAAGGTGAGTTTCCAATTAGTGATTAGAAAGTTCTACAAAACACAGTCTCAACCAGCAGCACCATCCAGTCTGATGGACAGAAATATACATGTGCCCCAGTTTGTGCAGGGTTCAGCCTTGGGCAAAATGGTGAGATCTGTATTTTGTAGCTTCCTACTTTGTCTTGTGCCATCCATTCCTCCCTGTTGGTTCTCAAAAATTAGAGAATATATTTAATGGCTATTTAAGCTCATCATTAAACAAGATCCAAGGTGCTTGGACGTGCCACCCTTTGAACCTTTAATGGGAGAACAGAAAACAGATTTATACAGAAGAGACATCAGGGGCTTCACACTGTCTGTCTATATTGGGATGAGATGGGCCTCCCTGAGCCCTGAGGGGAGAAATTCATGTCCAAGAGAGGAAGCTTCAGTGTATTTCCTGAAAGAGACAAATTATTACCCCAAATGCTCATATCTTGAGAAAAGAAGAGAGGCTGACCCCCCAAAAAACAAAGAAAACATATAAGCAGGCAGGGTAGGCCTGGATTTTACTTCTGCTAAGAAATTACCAAGTGTGTACTCAGAAAGAACCAGGGTCTGGTGCATTTCTGCCAAGAGCATCTGTGTTTTAGTGGGTGGCCCTGGTTAAGTAAGTGGATTTTGACTTTTGACATGAAAAGATTAATATGGAATTATGTTATTTTCTGTACTGTGACAGTGGATGGAAGAGAGGTTTTTGGGTAATGAGTCTTCCTTCTCCCATTAAAGTGCCCTGCAGACAGAAGTACATCCTTTGCTCAAGGAACAGAGCCTTAAATAGCTGGGCCAGACAGTAAGGTCAGACACTGCCTGGTTTGGAAGCAGGCATGGCCACTTACTCTGTGACTTTGGGTATTTTACTTAAATTTACTTCTCTTTACCCACTTCCTTATCTGTAATATGAAGATCATAATTACTACCACCTCATAGACTATGAAGACTGACTAAGCCAGTTGAGTCCAGTACTTAGAATAGTGCAAGGTGCTCATTAATTCTAAATCAGGAAATTGAAGAAATTTTTCTGAAAGTTACTTTCTCCAATAGCTGTAGCATTGAAACTATCAGAGTAATAATTTCTTAAAGGTATTATATATAGACTTTCAGGAAGATGCTAAGTTATTTACACCACCTGCCTCCTCCCCAAGAAAGAACAACAAATACAACTACCTTATACAATGCTAAGGAAAACAACTGCAGGTGCAAAATTTCATTTCAATGCATTCAACTTAGCATAGTTCTGGCAAAATAAAGGATAGGAACAATATGTATTAGGGGGCTTAACTTTCCTAATAATCATTTTTTAAAATAAAAAACCAGGAATCACCTCACTTAAAATGTGTTTTAAAGAATTTAGGAAAAAACACTTGTCTTAGTAGAACTAAAGTAGGGTAGTAACAATCAATGCTAGAGTGTATGTAAACCATTTCTAAGAAGTTCAATTGATTATGGTGACAGGCTAACTTAATTTATATACAAAATAAGATGCTGAGGCAGCGTTCTACAGCACAATAAATTAATTTGTTATAAATTGTACTTTGTTCTACTTAAAATTAAAGTACTGGGGTTTGTTAAAGATTTTCCCCTCTCTACCTTCCTCACTTTCTATACCATTCTCTTCTTTTATATTTTATTTAAAAAAGTAAATGAGAATGGATTTCAAGTTAACCATAATTAAATTACTTTTATTCCAGCACATCCTATAGGTTTTCTCAAGTGTAGCAAATGAGAAGGTGGTGGTAGAAGAAAGCAGTATTCATTACCTGGATCACAGTGAAGAGAAACCTGAGAATTTTTTGTTTTAAACTATGAGAAAAACTTTTAGAAGGAATTCTGTTTTTCTCCTTGTTTTTATTTGAAATTCCCTTTGTGAAAGCTTCAATTCTGAGTTATCGTTAAGACAATTTATGAAGTTGAATCATGGTTTTGAGTTTGGCAGTTTGTTAAAGGACATGAGAAGGATAAGGCAGGAGATGGAGAAAGAGATGGTTTAGCTTTAGTGGACATCTTGACAGTGAGGTTCTGCTAGGAGACAGTGGAAGAGATTACTAGAAGTCAATGTCATTTGAAGTAAGATATGAGAAGACCATCAAACCATTCAAAATTAGGTGAAAATTCACAGATAATTTTAAGAAGCAATGTTGGGGAATTCATTAGTAAAAGAAAACATTATTTTATATGAAGAAATTTGAAGTCCTATAAAGAGCATAGTTGCCAAAAATAGAAATGTACCATGAATTTATATTGGAATAAGGGAAAAAGGAAAAAAAAAAGCTCTTATCTTAATTCTTGGCTTTAGCTCTATTCACTACCAGAGAGAATCACTTTACTTGCTTTTCAGGAATAAAGCAATGAAGGAGAAGCCAGTGAATGTTGAGGAATTTGGTGAGGTAAGTGATAAGAAATGCAAAAAATTATAATCATATTAGAAATGAAACACCAAGTTTAAAGATCAAGAAGAGTGTATGTGGTTGATGCTGGAAAGTGGAGAGGTGATAGTTATAGAAATAACTCCTCTCCTTTCCCCTTTCCTCCCTCCCTCCCTCCCTCCCTCCCTCCCTCCCTCCCTCCCTCCCTCCCTTCCTTCCTTTCTTCCTTCCTTCCCTTCTTTCTTTTGTCACTAGAGATTTCAAAATGCAATAGTTTCCCAGGCTTGGAAGAGACGATGGGGTGAGGGAAAGATGATCTGGTTTCTTTTCCCAGGAACTACATCTAGGAAAGTTAAAGCCAGGTAGTTATTTTGCTGACAGTGTGTTAGGTTTAGGGTATCTGTTCAACTAGTGAAGATACCTGTTGGTATAAAGAATCATATTACTACCATTCTTAGAGTTCTAGTGGAAATGAAGAAGGTAAAGTTCCAAGAAGACCAAATTAGAAATATAAATGGTAGATGGTATTGTATCTAAATAAATTATCAGGAGACTTTAGTTATCCAGCGCTCACTTCAGAAGAATGAAGTGTTGGAAAACTGTTTCCCAATAGCAGACGTATGACTTTCTTAATGAATTTTAAAGAAATAATTGAACAATTTTCCTGTAACATATGCAATGTATAATGTCATCATCTTACGTGGCAACATAACCTCTTTGTAATGATTATGGGTCATTGTGATAAACATTATTAGCTCTGCTAAAATACTTCTTGTGGGTGATTATATTTGTTCCTAAAGTCAGAAATGCAGAAGCTGCTGTGTTTGGTAGTTATCCTCCTTATTCTGGAGGCATTTTTTTTTTCTCTTAAGGTCAAACTTCCGGTTCCACTTGGTGCTGTGGGACTCACACCTGCCTCCTTAGCCCTCCCTCCCCACTCATATTTCTCATCCTCTGGGCTGGGAAATACCATGATAGAGTATTACAATTAGGAGAGTAAGTAGGCCTGTGTGATGAATGTTTATGAGATTAAGTGGGATTTATTTTGGGTATGCAGTGTCTTTTGTTGGGTCTTGTTTGAGTTCTAGATAGGTGAAATTGCTAGAAAGGTTACTATTGGACTTGAGAGGTGTTGGTATTATTTTGAAGACAAAGGGGATCTGTGGGGTGCACACTTTTTAGAATGAACATTAAAATTTTCAGTGCCATCCCTCCCATTATAGGGCTTATTTTGTCTTGTTGAAGGATAAGTTTTCAAATTCTGCTTTTGGTTCTTATTTCTTAATATTATTGTTTCTTATGGGAATTGGTATATAGTGTAGACTAGATTATATAATCATCTCAAGAGAAGTAAGATTTCCTTAAAACCACAGAAGAGTGTAACTTTGAGCTTTAGGGTTTTACAGTTTTAGCCAGTAGAAGAGAACCTGTTTCAAGAGCCAAACAGCCCAGCATCACATATACCTTTCTATCTTACAAAATCATTCCATGTGTGGCATTATGCTGAAGTACAAGACTCTTCAATTTTGTTAACATTTGCAAGTAGAGCTGACCCTTGAACAACTGTTAGGTTTAGGGGCATTGATTTCACACCCCAATGTATAGCAGAAAATCGATGTATTGCTTTTTTCCCCATGTATCACTTTTAACTCCCCCAAAAGCTTTACCAGTAGTTGGAAGGTACTTTTGACCAGAACCTTCACCAATAACATAAATAGTCAGTTAACATATATTTTGTATGTTATATGTATTATATGCTGTATTTTTATAACAAAGTAAGCTAAAGAAAAATGTTATTAAGAAAATTATAAAAATGAGAAAATATATTTACAGTATTAATTGAAAAAATTCCATGTGTAAGTGGACTGTCGCAGTTCAAACCCATGTTGTACAAGGGCCAATGAGTATTATGTCAAAGCTGTTTAGTGGAAATCAGAGCTCCATATTCAATTTGGTTTACTCCCATCAACCGTCTTTTAGAATTCTCACCTCTGTGTGCCTATACCTGGGTCAGACCAAGCTGAAGTCTAAAAAGACCTTATTGCTATATGGTGGCTCATAAATTAACTAAATCTGAACAGCACTTGCCATCCTTTGTTCTTTACAGGACTTTCCTTAGGGGAAAAAAAATCTATTGCAAGGAAGATACAGTATTTTCTTATGTGAAAAATATGTACTATGAAGGTATATAATTTGCATGGTTTTTCTAAAGCTCCTGGTGAAATTAGTACCGGTCATGTAGTGGCTGCCTCCCAATAGCTCAGTAGGCACTGGATCAACCTGGAATAGCTTACATTTTGCAATGGTTACATTTCTACACTTTGAGCTTCTCACTTCTGAGTATAGAATCTGGTGATTAACAGAGCTGATTTCCTGGTATACGGTGTTTAATAAGGACACATTATATTTACATCTGGATGGTTTGCAAAAATACATACTTGTCATAGGAAATGAGGAATTGTGAGGTAAGAAAAAAATCTGTCTATTTGACTTTCAGCATTAAAATTTTCAGTCTCATCACATTAATGTTTTGTCTTATTTTCATTATTTCTTTTTTTTTCCTAGTGCTATTTCAGACTGGTGTAAGATGAATTGAGGAAATATTGCAATGTAGATTACTCTCTGGGAAGGAGAGAAACAATTTCCTGTTTTATAGTAAGGTAAGCATAATTAAAAGAAAAAAGAAAGCTGCTGTTTTTTCTTTTCTTTCAATACCAGTAGAAGTAAAACAAATGTACAATTTATTTCTTAGTCCTTATGCCAAGAAAAAGCTCATCCAAAGAACTAGCTGTTTTTGGTGGAGTTGACTGTCTCATCATAGGTTCTAATGTTTAATGAATAATTTTATTTCATAATTGTATTCAGAGTAACTCATCACCACAAAGCTGTTGGTTTTTTCTTTCTGATACCGAAGAGGAAAACTTTCTCAGCTGCAACTTGTGGGGCTTGGAAAAGATTTATTTTTTAGTCTTTCCCAAAAATAAACATCAGTTATCCCTATTATCTGAGTTAGATTTAAAAAACACAAACAAAATATAACTCACAAATTCTAATACGTAATCTCAGCTGTGCAGGAAGGTAAGTAAATGCATTTATTCCCTTCTGTTTAATTCCACAGTTGTAGCTTAGTTCAGTGGCAGAACAGGTGGATGTTCACAATGCCGTAGGCTTCTGAAAGATTAATTCAATATGATTGTAGTAGATAAAGATTTAGATATCTTACCTGAGGTCCATGTCACCATCGACCCAATAGGCCAAAATATTGGATGCAGTTCCTCCAGGACAGCATCCCATGATCAGCACCACTACAGCCTGGATGGGAAGGATGTCAAAGGCCACCGACAGGATGAATCCCACAAGAGGCATGATTCCAAACTGACAGAGGAAACCAATGCATATGCCCCACGGCCGCTTTATGTGCCCCAGGAATTTCTTGATTTCCACATTGCATCCCATGGAGAACATCACCATAGCCAATAGAATGGTCAAGACGGTACTCAGGACCACACTTAGAATGGCATTGAAATTGCTGACAGGTACCACGCAGGATGAACCATTGCAAACTGTTGCAGTGGCCAAACAGCTCGTTGAATTATTCATTGCTGGGTTTTGGCTCAAATGGTCACAGAAATCCACAGAAGCACCAATCCTCCGCTCCTCGCTGGGGAAGTAATGCCTACTGCAATCACATCAAACTTTTAAACCCTTTTTAAACCTGTCATTTGGTGTCTTTCAAAAGCCACTTCAGAGAGGCAATAAAAAACAATAAATGCTAGTATGTCAGTTTCAAGAGGTAACATTACAACACAGTACGTATTATGAATCATAAAAATCCTGCCAAATTATTGGTCCAGACAGAGAATTATAATTAATCATTTATTGGCATGGTAATGAACCGTGCCATATAAAAAGATCTATGTTAATGTTTAATACTGGGAAGGTTTGTTAAATAATTTCAGTTAAGCAACACTCAGATATTACAGAACATTGAGAACATTGGAGGGATTAAGCTGTAGGAAAGCATGTTATTCACTCATCTTCTTTAAGTTAAGGGGTGGGTGGTCCTGAAAAGTCAAGTACAACGTGCCAAATTAGATTGCAAAATAATGTCTGACCCTGAATTGAAACTGAAACCTCCAATTTCCTCCTCTAATAATTTTCTTATTGTATCAATGCTATTGGTTTGTAGTGTTCATAAAGTACATGTAAGTTTGAGAAAACATGTGGAAGGATAGAATGTTTTAGTACAGTCTGATGGGAGGGCAGCTGTCTTGAAGAGCCACCCTCAATTCCTCATATACCCAATTATGTGTGAGTTGTCATAGTAACAAAGCACTTTATAGATAGTGACAACACAATTATATAGAGGGATGAACCTTAGAGGATTAGGTCAAAGTAACAAGAGCTCTTTGTCCTTGGAGTCAGGAATTGAAATTAGAATTTTTTTTTTTGGAAAGTGGAGGCAGTTGGAGATTCCAAGGGAAGCTGATTTTTGTAAATGTCAAATAGTCAACTTCATTATGGGCAGAACACTGCACTTGCTGTATAGGGAAGATAAAAAAGAGTTAGAGGAGGAATTGTTCCTGTTCTCAGGAGTTTATGATATAATCATTTTGTCAGGATGCAACATAAGGATAAAATGGAATATTTTGATCATGAGTCACAACTTATAGGACAAATTATAATTTATTATTCACTTTAATCATCTTAAACTAAGTAAGAGTAGCATCCTCGTTTTACAGATGAGGAATTGAGGGTTGAGGAAATGAAGTATTTTATTCAAGGTTACCCAGCTGATAACTGGAAACACTGAAACTCACTTTAGCTTGGTGGAGATTTAGAGAAAGTCTTTAGAATAGAGTTTCTCAAAACTCAGTGTGCTCACAAATCCCCTGGAGGTCTTGTTAAAATGAAGATTCTGATTCTGGAAGTCTGGGGTAGACCCCAGATTTCTGCATTTCTGAGAAGCTCAGAGTTGAGGGTGATAATGCTAATTCAGGGACCAAACTTTAAGTATCAAGGCTTTAGAATACCAGTGTCAGGGTGATGACAACTATCCAAACTGGTGAAAATTGAATGTACTGGTCACATGGGAAAGCAGCATTTATAGAGCAACTCAATATGGAAAATAAACCTTTTGCATAACTTGAGTAAACATGAGCTGTTGGCAGTGGAGCAGGCCACTGAGCAGAGACATGGATGGAGTCAAATGTCCCAGCTGCTGGGGGCCTAAGGGATGATGTCCTTTTAATATGAGATTGAGCTGCTCGGAAAACCCTGAGCCATCCTCTTAGAGGCAATCGTGATTCACACTCACTGTAGGTGTATTTCCTGTCCCAGGAGTGCTCTTTCTTAGCTATCAGCCTCCACTGCCTGCCTTATCTTGCATGGGAGGGAGGGCTGCCATTAGCTCTGCCTGGCTGGCTGCCAGTTCCTAGAAGATCCTCCTGTCTCTCCCATCACCCTTCCCCCTCCCACAGCTATATGATTAGCTAGGTAATACTCAGAAGGGCTCCCCTCCCACTTCTGGATGTGGAATGACTTGGCCCTGCCCTGCTGGCCCCCTCCAAGCATCTCTTGGGACTGACCTCTGGCCCACTTCTTTGCTTTGGTGCCAGCAGACCAAGGGTCAATGAACCAAAAGCGCCCCCTGCTGCTGCACCGGGATACTGTCAATGCTGGCTCTTTTCTCCAAAGTTTGGGTGGGCCTGAGAGCAGAACTGTAGAATCCAGAGCCTGGCACATCTGTAATGTTGATCGATTTTCGAAGCAGCTGCCCTACTTTAACCTCAAATATTACTGAGAGTCCAAAAGCTGGCTCAGGGCCTATCTACAACAGGCCACGTCCAGTCTGCAAAAAGAAATTTGAGTCTTGTAGGTGGAGGGGGTAATTCAGATTTTTCCTCGGGTGAGCTTCAGATTCTGGCCATAGTTGGAGCTGCCAGGTGAAATTCTACTTAGCCTTTTACCCACACTGCTGGAAGCAGTGAGGAGAAAGTGAAGGGGCCAGATAGCAGGTTCAGAACAAAGCTCTTTTCAAATTTCAGATGACTTGCTAAGTAGTTTGAGGTTCCCAGAGGCAGAATGCTTTGCATTTAGACAACCTGCAAATGAGCAGTCTGTTTGACTAGACAAGAGTGCTACAATTCTGGTTCAAAAATGTGCCAATGAATTTATAATTTTCACATTGTTTTTACATAAATTTGCACATTAGGCTCAAGAGGCCTTCCTTATATGCAAGTATTGGAGTGATTCACAATCAACTAGTACCCTTAACTCCAACTACATGAAAAGTCCGGCATCAGACCAAGATAAATGGAAAATATCTGAATATGTTAAGACAATTCTCTTCAATTACAACATAGAATTAGGGAACAGATGCACACCTGAGTGGGTCATCAGGAGGTTGGGGCTTGAATTCCATAGTTACCTTTCTCAACCTTTCTGCTCAGTTTCTTCATACGCTGGACTCAGGGACAGGCCATCTTCAAGAAACCAGCAGCAAATTCCTGCTCCTGGTCTCAGGTGGAAACACAGTAGGTGGTGGGTCAATATGACCTTTTAGGCTTCCTTTTGGTTTCTGTGTATCACTTTGGAGAAATAAGGGCTAAATAGCTTTCCAAAGAGCTTGCCCTGAAGCTCATGTGATAAAAGAAAAGCTTTCAATTTCCTGTTGTGTTTCACTGGAGATTGCTCTGTTCAGGTCAGCAGTCATTTGGGATTTGAGTGATTCTTTTAAATAGTTCCCTGTGACTGAAATGGTCTCCTTCTCTCTTCTTTCCCATTCCTTGCACTTTTATGGAATCTGAAAGTCCCACAGAGTTATTTTTTGAAGTCTTTACTGACACTCTTTAAGGCAAAAATACTCTGGGGAGAATAGCCCATGAATGACTAGCTGTCCATTCATCTATCAGTGGTGTTGAAGGAAGAAGGCAGTGAAGTATTGGAGAGAGAAAAGTATTGTTTAAGGAAGGGTTTAAATTTACTGAATGCAGAAAGCACTGGACTTGGAATCAGTCCATTCATCGATCTGAGTGGTGTTGAAGGAAGAAAGCAGTGAAGTATTGGAGAGAGAAAAGTATTGTTTAAAGAAGGGTTTAAATTTACTGAATGCAGAAAGCACTGGACTTGGAATCAGAAGATATGTGTTCTAGGTGTGCTTCATTTGAAAATACTGCTCCAACTGCTAAGGGTTTTATGAATGAATGTGAAGCCTCAAAATGTCTGGAGGATGGTACTACCACTTTAAAAAACTATTAGAGCTAAGTATATACATGCCCTGTGACCTAGTCATTCTAGTCCTAGGTAAAGGTCTAAAGAAATCCACAAATTGAGTGCCCAGAAAGATGCAAACTAGAATGTTTATAGTGTTAATGGCAAATGGCACCAGATGTTAGACTTTGGTCATTGAGTTTGGCTAAGAAAAGAATCTAGAGACAAGAAACTCCAATACAAGCAAAAGTTTATTTGGAAAGTCACAGGGATAGAAGAAGTGAGCCATGGAAGAAGTGAGCCAATTGGGCAGTGTGGACTACGGAAACAAGTTGCAGAGGCAAAAGTAGGGCCCTTGGAGCTTAAGAGAGAGAAAACAAAGAAAATCAGCCTGAAGGAAGGAGAGGGAAAAAGGCACAGGTGTGCTCCAGAGAGAGCTCGCTTGGGG